AAGAATAGTGGTTGTCAAGGACTGGGGTGAGAGGAGAATGGAGAGTGACTTCTAATAGGTACAGGTTTTCTTTTTGAGGTGGTGATAAAAATGTTCTAAAATTAGATAATGGTGATGGTTGCACAACTTTGTGAATATAATAAAAACAACTTAATTTTACACTTTAAAAGGCTAAATTATATGGTCTGCAAATTATAACTCAGTCAACTATTATAAAAAAAGAAACTTCTTATGAGACAGAAAGCATGAACCTGATTGTATATAAATTTAAAATAATCAATTAAGTACCTATATGCCAATACTCTACCAATAAATTATATGTTATACAATGTAAGAAGTATATCCACTATTATGTTACAGTTGATCAAAATAAAATCCTTCCTACATTCTGTAGTATTGTCTCTAAACAATGGGCAAATAAAATCAGATGTCTTTTTCATCTGCCATATCCTACCTTGAACAAACAGGATTTCTTCCCCTTCTTGTTTTATAAAAAAAGGAAACTAACCATTTCTATTCTACTAACATCACAAAGTTATTGTCAGGATTAAATGGGATAATGTAGTATAATTATTAGTGGGAAACTCCATTAGAGCAATGATCACTAGAGAGGAGGAAGATGTAATTACTAAGGAGTTAGAAGCTGGGCTTGGGCATGATTAGCCCAGTCTTCTTTACTCCCTCTTCTGTATTTGCCTACCTGTACAAAGCATACATTTTAGGCTGTTTGCTGCCAGGTGTAAGAAGCCTGCAAATGTGGAGGGCTGCTCTGACTAGGTGGATAGATTTATGAAGAAGCCAGTCTTTTTTCTGTCAGTTTGATCAGTAGTAAAGTTGGTATTTTCATCTCAATGTCTCTAACTCCTATGTGCCTAATTCCAATTATAAGGGGAACATTTATTAACTTCCTAAGACCTCAATATGAAAGTACTTGATAAAACATAGATACAATATGAAGATAAGGTATTACCATGAAAATATTAGTTAATACCTTTTTCTGTTCATCCAGTCTAACATTTAAGCAAAAATATTTAAAAGTAATAAAAAAAATTTTTAAAAATATATATTTTATTGATTTTTTACAGAGAGGAAGGGAGAGGGAGAGAGAATTAGGAACATTGACGAGAGAGAAACATCGATCAGCTGCCTCCTGCACACTCCCCACCAGGGTTGTGTCCGCAACCAAGGTACATGCCCTTGACCGGAATCGAACCTGGGACCCTTCAGTCCACAGGCCGACGCTCTATCCACTGAGCCAAACCGGTTAGGGCTAAACATTTTTAAATATTTCATTTTGTTGCTAGTTAAACAATAAAGCAAGATTGTCTGACCAACCTATACACCTTTGGTAATATATCTAATGAAAACTTCTAATGATCAAATAAAATTACATTTTGAACACAGAATGATGACATTCATTAAATAGGATGATAGATCTTTAAAAAAATCAAATCATTAACCCATTAGGAGGAGTGTGCAGATCAAGAGGATTAGACTCTTGCCTAAATGATTAGATCTAAGTGATTTTCATAGAAATTACCATTAGAAATATTTTAAGCTAGTTATACAATGTTTGGAGAAAAAATCAGTGTGCGTGAAATTCTATGAAAATAGCAACATTAATAAGAAAAATGAAAGCTAGAGCTTTCATGTAAATTTATTTGCAAACTATTATTCTAACATGTCCTCTTCCAAAACAGATATGGGAAGTACACTGCAAAAGGTACCCCTTTCTTTAAAAGAAAGTACTGCCTATGTTTATCTAATCCAGTTTAAGCTGATGGCATGTGCCCAACAGTCAACTAAAGGGATAAAAGTAAATATTCTATATTTCATAATAAATGATATCTACAAGATGTAATAGAAGGGATAATATAGGTATTCAAGTAAAATCCCCCAATACAAATTTTGATCTATTTTCTAAAGTTATTAAAAAATCTAAATTACAAAACATAAATCTCCTAGGTAGAGGAAACAGGTCTCTAATCTAATTTCATACTGTAACCATAGTCCTAACCATGCAGAGGCTATGGCTACAATAAAATGAATTGTTCAAACTTGATTTTTCAGCACTGCAATTTAAGTGATCATGGTGGCAATATAATATAGTGGCTAAAAGCACAAGCTTAGAATCCTGGTCTTACTATTTACTAGCTGAGGAAGTAATTTAATCTCTCTAAGTCTCAGTTTTATCACCTGTAAAATGGAATCCATATATACTGTGATGGTGAGGGTTAAACAATATAATGCCTATAAAGTGGTTAAGAAAATCCCTTGCACACAGAGTTCAAAACATGATAACTTTTATTATTAGCTATATATGCCTTCCCCTGTATGCTGCTTCTTAGGGCTTTCATTTTTCACTTCAGACATAACCTCCCAGGAAGATACTTTTTTGACAATGTGGACATATATTATCATTAACGGTGATAATTAACAAATGATAATAATAATTACAGATAAAAAACTTTAGAAAATCATGTTTTCTATTTCTTTCATATTTTCTACCACCTTTAGCTGGATGTACCGTAGCTATACTTTAACAAATGAATGAATAGAAAAATGAAGAAATAAATGAACAAAGTAATGAGAGAAGGAACAAACAATTAAATAAAGTTGGCAACCATCTCCCAGTCCCTGCTAAAGCAGTATGGTCTGAATTATCTAGCATCTCCTGGGTCTGGCCTTCAGAGAGTAGCTATGGTCAGACTCAAAGTATTAGATCATGTAAAAGAAGAACCGCATATGCCCTGCTAAAATTGGAACTCCATCCCAATAATATTCAAGTTGGGACATCTTGTGAATTACAGTAAATTCAAAATTGAAGTACCCCTATTAGAAAAGCTTTAGAACTCAATAAACCATCTACAGATTATTTACTCTGTCCCTATTTGAATGTGGTAGAATGAACATGGAACCTATGATCTTTAAGAGCAGCCTAGTTATAACTGAACATTACACAGAAATCACTCAAGGAAATACTAATATTAAAACAAATTTTTCATAATAATGAAAAAGAGAAATCCATTTGAGCTGTCTTAAGATCAAAAAGATATTTCAGTACTTTCTTTTTAAAATTAGGGTGTTTGCTAAGCTAAAGTATGGGTACAATAATTTCTGAGATGAATTAAAAGGAAATGCAAGATTTATAAAGGATACATAATTTGACAAAACTAAGCTACAATTAAATAACAAAGGCTCTGTAACTGTCCTAAAGGGAAGCAAGGTCAAAATATTCATAACATCCCAATAGGAAATTTAACTGAATGGAATGGGTCACGTCCATTCTTTTGAATTCAGTTATAAATTACAAAGAAAAAATGCCAAAGAAAATTACATTTGATGAAAATCTTCTTGAGTGTGTATAAAGGAAAATTTTTTCTATTTATTACTTGTAATAATACTCATTAAGGGGAAACCAGAATATATGATGAGGTACATTCAACAGCATTATTGAATTTAGACACACACATGTCATTTACTTTCTATGCCAAGTTTAGCAAAATAAGAATTTCATTTCTCATTTCCCAATGCTATATTATAATACTCTAATTTGTAATCAGAACGCCAACCACTGCATATTTATAAAGTTCTGCTTACCTTACTGTTTCTTTTCTTTTAGTATAGTTGACATAAATTATTATATTATTCTCAAGTATATGACATACTGATTTGATATTTTCATACCTTATGACATGACCACCACAATAAGTCACTGAACAAAATTATGATATTATTAGATATATTCCCTGTGTTATATATTACATACCTGTGACTTATCAATATATATAAAAGCCTAAGCGACCGTCCAACCATTCACTCAGTAGGTATGACATGCAATGACCATCAGGCGGCAGATACTTCAACCAGTAGAGGAGGAAGCCCAATTCCTCACGGAATCTGCCGTGTGTTAGGTTGCTGCTGGGGCACTGTCAGCCCCAAATCTGCTTCACCCGCACCCTGGACCTATCGGGGGATGTCGGAGGCCCGGTGCCCGTGTACTGGTGGGGTCTCCAGGCCTGGCCTGTGCCCTCTTGCAATTTGGCACCCCTCAGGGGATGTCGGAGAGCTGGTTTTGGCCCGATCCCCAGAGGCCAGGCCGAGGGACCCCACCGGTACACATATCCGTGCACTGGGCCTCTAGTTAATTTTATAATTGGAAGTTTGTACCTCTTATTATTCCTTTACCTTTTCACCCATACTCTCCTTCCCCCTCTGGCAACCAACCATTTATTCTCTGTATCTAGGCTTCTGTTTCTGTTTTTTTTTGTTCATTTGTTTCTGTTTTTGTTAGATTCTACATATAAATAAAATTATACAATATTTGTTTATCTGTCTGACTTATTTCACTTAGCATAATGCCCTCTGGGCCCATTCATGTTCTTACAAATGTTAAGATTTCTTTTTTGTTTTAACTGAGTAATATTCAATTGTGTGTATAAATATATCTTTTTTTTTTAAATCATTTATCTGTTGATGGATACCCAGGTTGATTCCATTTCCTGGCTTTTGTAAATAATACTGCAATGAACATAGGTAGGTGCATGTATCTTTTACCTACTGTTTCTTATGTTCAAAACACAGGGTCATAGCAATTTATCACACAGTGAAGATGCTGGGAAAATCCTTTGGCTTTCCAATTTACTTCTGGTAAACTATTTACAGTATGTCTTAAATCAGTATAGGACGATACTGGAAAACTACAAAATGCTACACATCCTTTGAATTTTATTCAAAATTATCCATCTTTAGTCTAGAAAATTTGACCATAGCTTTTAATGCTTCAAATTTTGCATGATCAAAAGCTTGAGTACGTGAAACATCTGAAATTTAGACTGTCTGAAAGATTATAGAAATAAAAAAAAAACACCTCCATATATTTAATATCTCCTCCTTTCTTCCGCACCTCCCCCTCCCCACCCCCACCTCCCCATCCTGTATCCACCCCTCCTGCTGCCTGGCCTGTGTGCGCTGGCAATATCTCCTACTTTCTTACTTACTACATAAAATCGGAGAAGAGGGTGTCTGCAGTGTCAAAGTGGAGCCATCTTTCCTTGTGATATTAACTCGAAAAACCAATCTGGCACGAGTGCTTTTTTTCTTGGAACCAGCAATTCCTATTCTGGCTTCAACATCAGCATTTCTCAATTTCAATATCCCTACGCAGTCCACCCTAAAAACAGAAAAAAGTACATTAACTGATATTTTCTGTTGTACATATGATACAGTATTTTTAATAAAACAAGTTTCTTTCTTTTAAAGTTGCTTCATTACTAATTTCTGAATATGTAATATAATTATAAGATTCCAATTTCAAAAGGTACAGAAGGGTAAATCATGAATATTCCTAATTCCTAATCTTGTCAGCTTTTTATTTGTAATGGGAAAAACAACAAAAAAGTAAAATTACTATTTCAAAATCTGAACATAAGTAATAATTTATAAAAGGTACTTTTGCTGTGTTATTTTTTAAATAAATAAATTTAGCCTGTCTTTTGGCAGTTAATTCAGATATAGAGGAAATGGGTTTTATTTTTTAAAATATTAGTAATTATCCCAACAAGAACGGGACACTAAGTAGCCATAAAAACATATGATATAGGATATTTAATGTTATGGGAAAATGCTAATAAGTAAAAAGCAGGTTACAGAACAGTGGGCACAATATTATTTCAATTTTATCAGAAAGGATGGAAAGATGAATATCAAAATAGAGGTTAGCCCTAGCCAGTTTGGCTCAGTGAATAGAGCATCGGCTGTGGTTATTTCTGGAAAGTTGGCTTTTAAGGGGTATCGTATTAGCTTTTTATGATTTTATTTATTTATTATTTTCAATTATTCTGTATTCTCAACTTACAATGTTTAGATACTATTTTTTTAATATATTTTTATTGATTACAGAGAGGAAGGGGGAGAGAGAGAGAGAGAGAGAGAGAGAGAGAGAGAGAAAGAAACATCAATGATGAGAGAATCATGGATCAGTTGCCTCCTGCACGCCCCCTACTACAGATTAAGCCCGCAACCTGGGCATGTGCCCTTGAATGGAATTGAACTGGGACCCTTCAGTCTGCAGGTCAACGCTTTATCCACTGAGGTAACCAGCTAGGGCAGGTACTATTTTTATAATCAACTAGAGGCCTGGTGCACAAAATTCATGCACAGGTAGGATCCCCTCCGTAGGCCTGGCCGGCGATCAGGGCCGATCAGGGCCTTTTGACTGCCGGCCAGGGCCTTCCTTTGTTCTGCACCACCCCTTGGTGGTCAGCGCAGGTCATAGTGAGTGATCGAACTCCTGGCTCCCGGTCGAACTCCTGAGGGGACAATTTACATATTAGGCTTTTATATATATAGACTTTTATATATATAGATTATTCCCTTCCTTTCTTCTACTATATACTTTTATTTTTATAATTTTTAAAATATTAAAAATAATTACTGAATATCTTTTTTTAACCCTTCTTTTAAAAAAAGTTGTTATATTTAGAAAGAAAGGAAGTGAGAGGCACAGAGAGAAAAAAACATCAATGAGAGAGAAACATCATCAAACGGATGCCTCCTGCACACCCCCGATTGGGGATTGAGAGCGTGAAACCAGGGCATGTGTCCTGCCCAACAGGGAATCGATCTAATGACCTCTTGGTTCATGGGTAGACACTCAACCACTAAACCACTAGCCAGGCTTTACTGAATTTTTTTCAAACATTTCTTTTCCAATCAACTTCTTTTTTAAAAAAAATATATTTTATTGCCGAAACTGGTTTGGCTCAGTGGATAGAGCGTCGGCCTACGGACTGAAAGGTCCCAGGTTCGATTCCGGTCAAGGGCATGTACCTGGGTTGCGGGCACATCCCCAGTGGGGGATGTGCAGGAGGCAGCTGATCGATGTTTCTAACTCTCTATCTCTCTCCCTTCCTCTCTGTAAAAAATCAATAAAATATATTTAAAAAAAAAAAAATATATATATATATATTTTATTGATTTTTTACAGAGAGGAAGGGAGAGGTGTGCCCTCACCAGTGTGGCCCAGTTGGTTGGGCATAGTCTTGTGCACCAGGAGGTTGTCGTGTTGATTCCCAGTCAAGGGCACATGCAGTGCTGTGAGCTCAATCTCCGGAAGGGAGCCTGCAGGAGGCAGCTAATTGATGTTACATTCTCACATTGATGTTTTTTCTCTCTCTCTCTCCCTCTCCCTTATCCTCTCTTTAAAAATCAATTAACTATTCTTTTTAAAAATTAATTAACTAATTAAAAGATGGGTCAAGGAGCCATAAATGATCTCTGTTAAATAGCTTCTAAAACAAACATTAACAGAAATTAGGAAAGCAAACCAAATTGTAATTTTTATTTTTAATGTTAATATTGTTAATCCCAACAAATAAGCATATTATTTCCCAAAAAGCCAGCATTCTACCGGGCTTTTATTTCCCTGCCTTTCATGACAGGAATTCTCTAGCAAAGAGTAAGAGTTGATTTTAACCCATTACCATTCTTTAATAATCTATTTTTATAAACATTTTAATAAAATACTCAAAATCTTGTAGAAACTAAAAAATGTTCTTGCCTACAATATATAGAGAGAACAAGAAAATTTTTACTAAGTACTTACGCTAGTGTCATGTTGTTGTTCGGATCAAGGCCAACTTCTATAACAGTAGTGCCTTCAATGTCCACTTCTTTGCAGGGAGTTGTATTTCGCCCAGTTACCCTGCAGGCCTGATAAAATCCATGTGGTTTCACTCGACCAGAGTCATTACCCACAAACACTTGCAACACTACTGGCTCATTATGGCCTTCCAGCTGGAGTGAGATAACATGGAGCATAAACACTAATTAGCCTTTCAAATAATCAAATTGTAAAATTAAGCATTTAGTACCAAGTCTTATACTTATAACTAGGTTATAATAAAGACATAATTTAAATCCTCAAGAAAAAGAGAGGTAAAATATTTTCATAAAGGAGAGTTGACTAAGTTTCTGCAGAAAATCTTAAGTTTAAATTTCTCACTTGCCTGTTACTTGTTTTGAGTTTAGGGGACTGAGGATTGATTCATGTAGTACAAGCATGTCAAATTCGCAGCCCACAACGAATATTTTTGCAGCCCAGCCAATATAACGGTATGTAAAAAACGTTTTGCCCAGCTGGCGTGGCTCAGTGGTTGAGCATCGACCTATGAACCAAGAGGTCACGACGGTTCGATTCCCGGTCAGGGCACATGCCTGGGTTGTAGGCTCCATCCCCCGTGTGGGGTGAGCATGAGGCAGCCAATCAGTGACTCTCTCTCATCATTGATGTTTCTATCTCTCTCTCCCTCTCCTTTCCTCTCTGAAATCAATAAAAATATTTTTTAAAAAAAGGTTTTAATAAAAATTTCGTAACTTAATTTTTATAATAACCTGTTATACATAATTATTAATAACGAACTACAACGTTCACTAATGACTGATTATTATACTCGTGTTGCATTCATTTCCCTTCCGCGCCTTATGCACAAGCGCACCATTTCTCTCCACTAATACCAGCAGCGAATATTTTAGCAGCCGAATGCCATGTCCTTAGTCTTGGACTGACTTGTTTGGTGTGTGCAACAGGAAACATTTCGCTTTCAGAGAACAACAACAAAAAATAGGTTTATTTGTGTTACACTTATTAATTTGTGCAGTTATTCAGTGTCTGGTAAGTTAAAGTTCAAGAAAAAATTTTATTTTTTATTAAAATGTCCTATTATTTTATCTTAACAATTACTCATTTATTTCAGCCCTTTGTATTCAGCATGTCTCTATTGAAATAAACCTACGTTTCTATGAAAATTGAAGTTTTTGTTTTTTTGCAGCCCACATAAACTTAAACCTTGTTTATTTGGCCCATGTTAGCCTTTGAGTTTGACAACATGCTTAATGTAGTGAGTAGTAGAGGGGCAGAAATGATATTGTACATGTGACTATTAACCGACCGTAAGTTTCCTGATCCCAAGTTTCTACCATTATTTCATTCAAGTATAAAACCAAAGGCAGTCCAACTAAATATTATTCAACTAACACATTTACACAAATTGTATTTATCAAGAATCTACCATGTGACTAGGCAATATTCCAACCGGTTTGGTATTTTGCAGGGGGTTAGAACACTTGTTAAACACCCCCTACCCAATTTTTTTGGTTTGTCTTCAAAGAGAAATATTCTTTGTAACAAGGTAGCCTAGGTGCTAAAATTTGAGCCCCCGTTAGTCATTAGTCTAAGTTCTGAAAAGATGAAGACTCAGTTGATATCCTAGTTCTTAAACTGAAGACTTACGTTACCTATCAACTGATCCTTTCCTGAGTTGAATAGTCCTGATTACACTAGCCATTTCAAAACCCTTATTTTTTAAATTCATAATAATTTCTGAAATATTTATTTGAATTCACTTTAAAATTTCTTCTTAAATATAAAGCTTTGGAAGAATCGATTATGGTTGCTACTAATATCAAAAATAAGAGGAAGAAAATTCATGATTTCCAGATATTTTTCTTATCAGAACACATTATCATTTCCTTCCATTTAAACTAAAATTCAAATGACATCAAAGCAACAATATTTATCTTAGGGTTCAGTCAGACTTTTACTTTCATTCTATTATATATAGTTAACAAGCCTATCCTTCGATTTCAGGCAGCTTTTGCTGGTTAAAAACAAAATAAATGAAACTCGAGAAAATTCTTCATATATTGCTAAATAAAAAAGTACCTTTACTGTAGGAAAGCCTTGCTGTGTTCTATCCTTGACTGAGCCACGGCTACCTTCAGTCAGGTACCGAGCTCTATGCTGGGTCTCAGGTTGTATAAGTATCTTCAGCTCTTTTCCCTCACTTTTAACAGGATACTGTCCACTCAACATAGGGCTTTTTTTTACTCCAGTTCCTTTTTGGTTTTCCAATGTTCTGAGAAGTCAAAGCACAACGTGGAAAAAGCATCAAAAAGTGTTGTTTTTGTTTTTTTTACAAAAGTCATGTAAGATAAAGGAGGAAACAGAATAGGCAGTAACTTTCAAAACAACTGATTATCTTAATGACAAAATAAAATATAGCCTAGGGGAAGATACATTCCATAAAAAAGTATATTTTAAAATTTCGTAATAAAATTTAATTAATGATGCAAAAATAAAAGAAAGTTTGGACAGGGCAAGACAAAGAATGCATATATGTGGTAGGAAGAAGGAAGATTGAATGCAATAAACTAGGAATAACAGGAAAGAATATAGCTAATGTCACTTATATCCTTTCACATTGTACTTCAGTCAAAATAAATTTTTTAAATTACATATATATATGAGTGTTATATAAAGCTATGAGATTTAACTATACCATTATTTTCTAATCAGACTTGCAAAGCAAAAAAAAAAAAAGTGGGGGTAGCAAAAAAGAAACAAGCAAACAATGGGCCTTAAAGAAAACCTGAAGGTACATGTAAAATATTCTTTTGGATAGCTTTCTCAGGATATCAAACTGAGAAAATTATAAATTAAAAAATCAGTGATTCAATTTTTATTGGAAATTAACTTTACTCTATACAATCTTTCCCGGAAGTATAATTTTTTAGAGCATATTTTTTTGTGATAAAATTATTAAAGCTCTTAGCGCATAAAAATTTTATAATCTGGGCTTTACTGATAAGCAATCTAACGTATTTTTATTTATTATTATTTTTGTTTATCTTCACCTGAGGATATTTTTTCCACTGATTTTTAGAGAGAGTAGAAGGGAGGGAAGGAGAAAAGGGAGAGAGGGAGGGAGGAAGGAAAGGGAAAGGAGGAGAAAGGGAGGAAAAGGAGAGAGGGAGAAAGGGAGGAAAAGGAGAGAGGGAGGGAGGGAAGAAAAGAAGACAGGGAGGGAGAGAGGGAGGGGAAGAGAGAGAGAGAGAAAAACATTGCTGTGAGAGAGACACATGACTGGTTGCCTCCCACATGCCCCCTAATAGGGCCGGGGATTGAACTTGCAACCCATGTGCAAGGAATCAAACCCCCTTTTGGTGTGAGGGCCAATGCTCTAACCACTGAGCAGACCTGACAGAGCTAACTTATTTTTTTTTTATTGTGTTTCTAATGTTTATTTTGTTTATCATTCATTTTCTATGTGGAATATAGATTCAAAGAAAAATATTTCAAATGGTGGTTAGGACTTCAGGTAGACACATTTAATCTGAAGCACTGCAAATATGTCATAAAAATAAATAGAAAACAATATTGTTAGTTTTAAAATAGGTTGAGGTGAAGGGGGTCAATGGGGAAAAAGGGGGGACATTTGTAATATTTTCAACAATAAAGATACATTTTAAAAAGTAAAAGGTTGAAATTATCCATGCACTTTTAAAAATAGTCAGGGCCTATAATACTTTCTATGGGACCTTCTCAGTCCTAAGTTTATACTCACATTGACAATACAGAAGCCAAAAGACGACTATGGACAAAATTTCCTCCTAAAACAAATAGGCCCCAGGAGGAATATTATGACTTCAAACATAGAGGAGCCATGGTGGTTAAGCAGCCGTAAACTGGCTCTAATGTTTACCCCTCCATCTCTAACCAAGTTGTTGCCTCAAATTATCAATAACAAAACCAGTCCTGGTTCCATTCAGAGTACAAACTATGACTAAGAAAGGGACAGAAGAATGAAGGAAAGAAGGGATACAAAGGGATGTAATAAGACTGACTGGATAAGAAGAGTTTTGTGGACAAGTAGTGTTGAATCATTTTCATATTCCCTGAATCTTGTACAATTCCTTAAAGAGTAGGTGCTGAAAAAAAAAAGTTTGTTTATAACTTTTACAAACAAATAGGAAGAAGAAAGAGACAAGGAAAGGAAAGCAGAGGAAAAAAGGAGCTTCTATAATAGTAAGTGGCTATGGCATGCCAGTAAGTTTGACATAATAAGTCAAAGATTACCTGAGTAAGTCATTTAAAAGGCCCTGGAAGAATAAATCCTATGAACAAAGTACTAAGTTGAAACTGGAACAATGGGCAATAAATCCTATTTTTCTTTTCATCGTTCTGAGTTGAAATGCAAACATTTGCTCTGAATGTAATGTGGAATCCCTTAGTTATAAAATTTTATAATGATATTCTGTTTTTTAATCATTTTAAAAGTAAAAATATTTACTTACTGAATCTAATATAAAAAATCTCCCAAATATGCATTGAAAGGGACTAAAAGGAAATACAGCAAAATTCTAATAGTTGTATTGAATAACTAGACTTTAAGTTATTTATTTTCTTCTATTTCTGCAGTTTCCAAATAACACCTATTAATTTTATAATAGAAAAGGGCATACTTTAGTTTGATATAAAGAAAATTTAGCATATCACCTAATTTGGCAAGATATGGTTTTATATTCACTTATGCTAGTGAAGCTAATATTTATGAGAATAGTTGATAATGAGTTTCACTATTTCAGTAAAACAAAATATTTCATACTGGAATGAAGACTGTTGAGTGAGTTGACAAAGTATACACAATAGGGTTTAAAGAAACATAGCACATGTAATTCAACAATTTATGAAATGATACTTTCAAAAGCCCTTAAAACTATCCCTAGGTTTAAATGTAAAAATAGAATACATATATATTTGATTTCTAGACATAAAACTATGGAAAACATCAACTAATTATTAGTCACTCAAATTACTAATTTTTAAGGCAAGATGGCTTAAGAAAAAACAAGAAAGTATCCGTTTGATTGAATGAATTTTACTTCTAAATGGCATCTAAAAATAAAATCCACTCTCTTGGCATATTCTATTCAGAAGTCTTAAAATGACATACTAATTCCTTTGTTCTACATAGTCTTCTGGTTGTCTATGTCACAAAAATAATTTTCTTTATAAAATGCCCAAAAAAGGTTTCACATCAAGATAACATCATATCTTAATTTCTAGGACTACCTAGAAGAAATATAGGGCTACTGAGTTTCAGGAAATTTAGTAGAAGAATTTAAGAATGATATGGCTAGGAATCGTTAAATACCAAGTAATATTTTTTTTAAATAGTTTTGTTTTCTTAATAAACTCTATTATATAACCTTTCTTTTTTGGTTAATCCTCATCTGAGGATATTTTTTCCATTGATTTTTTTACAGAGAGTGGAAGGGAGAGAGGGATGGAGAAAGAGGGGGAAAGAGAGAAACATTGATGTGAGAGAGACATACTGATTGGTTGCCTCCCACATGCCTCCTAACCAGGGCCAGGTTGAGATCGAACCTGCAACCCAGGTATGTGTCCGTGAATAGGAATCAAAACCAACCGAGACCCTTTAGTGGCCAGGCTGACATTTCTAACCACTGGGCAACACCGGCCACGGCATAACTTATATAACATTTTAATCATATAAAAATGCTATTTCCATCTTAAAGATCAATAAACTGTGGTACAGAACATATTTGAGAGTACATTTTCTGTAATTTAGCATTACATAAATTGTAAGTTTAGGAATATTAGATTTAAGGCTTTATATCTATCTCTCAAAACATTTCTAAGTATGTTTCATGTTCCTAACATTTTTCTTATTGAAGAATAATTGTCCTCAAAGGCCTAATTTTCTCTATATTTACATATGGTTTTTTCCTTTTCTTGATATAGTTCTTAATAATTCAAAATTTAAACTTCTGCCATCATTTCCATATGCCAGAGTTAAGTATTTTTCACTACCTAAGAAGCTGGACATTTCTTTTCCTGCTTGATGAGTTCCTGTTTCATTAATTATTTCACGAGAGATTTTGTCTTGACAAATGTTGTTATACTTTCCCTGAGTAACCTCAAATCATTTCTAAGATATATCTGTCATACAAAAGCAGAAGCAGAAAAAATATAGCTCAAGATATCTTTCATGTTTATTTTTTATTTTTACAAGTTCTAATTTGCTTTAATAAGCAACTTATGAATGGGGCAGTATCCCTTCTAGCAGTTTAAAGGCTGTTCTAAGTCAAGCATGTCAAACTCGTGGCCCTCAGGCCACAAGCGGCCCACAATGAATATTTTTGCGGCCCATTCAATATAACGGTATGTAAGAAACGTTTTAATAAAAATTTCATAACTTATTTTTTAACAATAACCAGTTATACATAATTATTAATAACGAACTACAATGTTCACTAATGACTTGATTACTATAATCGTGTTGCATTCATTTCCCTTACGCACCTTATGTGCAGGTGCACCATTTCTCTCCAGTAATACTAGCAGCTAATATTTTAGCAGCCGATGGCTACATCATTAGTCTTGGACTGACTTGTTTGGTGTATGCAACAGGAAACATTTCGCTTTTGGAGAACAAGAAAAATAGGTTTATTTGCGTTATGCTTATTAATTTGTGCATTATTCAGTGTCTGGTAAGTTAATGTTCAAGAAAAAATATTAATTTTTATTAAAATGTTCTATTATTTTATGTTAACGATTACTCATTTATTTCAGCCCTTTGTATTCAGCATGTCTCTATCAAAATAAACGTACATTTCTATGAAAACTGAAGCTTTTATTTTTTTGCGGCCCACGTAAACTTAAACCTTGTTTATTTGGCCCATGTTAGCCTTTGAGTTTGACATGCTTGTTCTAAGTTATCTCTTTAATAGCAACTACAAACCAAGTGTGTTGACTAACTCTCAAGTCAAAAATTTTTTTGTTTTCATTTGAAACTTTAACATTTATTTATAATAAATAAAAATAAAAATCTCTCTTCTGGAACTTAAAAAAAAAACCTCTCTCCACTGAAACCCAAATAAACACATATCTGTATTTAATGATAGATGTACATGAGCCTTTTAGTTCTGTGCTGCTATGTTTTCAGAACATTATTACATAGGTAATAGTTCTACAAATATGTTCTAGAATTCTTGAATCTGCTAGTGGCAACATTTTAAGAAAGGGTATACTTGTTTTCTTTTAAATAATTTCCTAATCTGGACTTTCTAAAAATAAAAAACAGTTAAAGTGCATTTTTCACTTAACTGCATCATACCAAAAAGTTTTAAGTAAGAGTAGAGAAGCAAGTAGCAGAGAGTAATTATTGCTTAAATGGTAAGTATTACTTTCAAAATATACTGAGAGAATATTTAAGGACAAGTTTAATATACATTAAAAATACTCTGATACTACTCAATTAGATTTTTAACTTAAAAGATATCAATGATGTCATCAAGTAGTAACGCAATCAAAAGCTTCTCCGTCACTTTTGTGACAACCTGAAATTATAGATCCTGGAGCAACTAAAGGACCATACCCTGCTTCCCCAAAAAACATCTCTCAAAATCCAATGTGTTAATTTTTATCAAACTATGTTGAACACACTATAGGAAACTCTAATTAAAAAGTCTAGCAATTAAATATTACAATAAAAGTACTAAAGGAATTTAAAAGTTAAAAATAAGTCAGTATTCTGTACTATATAGCAGTGAATATTCTGTAATATAGTTACAGAAATATATTTAGAGAGTGTTGTGAACTGGCAGAAATCAATGTAAACTCAAACATGTACTATGATTCCATTCTATCATCTTTCAAATAATAAACCAGAATCATAGAAAAAAAATTCATGATGTATTTTTTTAAAATCCCAAATCAGAGCTGTCTGCTTGCTCTCGATGTATGAGTCTGTCTCTATTTTGCTTGCTAGTTCTATTTGTTCATTAAATTCCAGATAGCTCTAGTGGGAGGGGGATGTTGCGTGGGGAGGAGGGGGAGAGATTGAGCGAAAAAGAGAAAAAGAGAGCACTCATGGATATAGACAACACTGTGAATGTGGGGGTGGGGTGTGGGCAGCATTGTGGATGTGGAAGAGGGCACAGAGGGGATAAATGGTGATGGAATAAATTAAATTAAAAATCCCAAATCAGCACACTGTATACAAAAAAGCTTAAAATAAATACATAAATCTAAATGATGAAAATCAAGCCATCAATCAGTTTTTTCTTATTTTTATGAAATAAAAGAAAAATAAAGTCTAAAACCCTCACAAAAATGGAAACAGATTGAATCATATGGAGAGACAATGTGAAAAGAAAAACAAGTACTTTGTGAATGTTTTGAGTTGTTTCAGCTAGAGCCATTACATGCTAGTTATTTGTATGAGTAAAAATATCCTTAAATCCTTTTAAAATATAAATCTATTTGAAATTTAAGTTATTTCAAAACATTATTTTATTTTATACTACTTAATCACATCCATAATACGATAACTATTGCTAAAATCTTTTGATATTTTATTTTTTCTCTAGTGAAACTTGGTAATTTTAAGTTAAAATTTTCAGGTATTTCAATGATAAAATTAGTATCTTTGCTTCAGATGCATACTTGAGTTAAGCAATTAAGAAAAGTGGGGAATGATTTTGTTGTTGTTGTTTTGCATAATGGTGATAGAACTTTAAAAAAAATGTGAATACCAACCCATTTCCTGCTTTTGAGTTGCCTTTGTTGTCCGTGGTAAGCTGAGAAAGCACATAATGAGGTGCTTTGGCACTGTCGGCATCAAATATATCCATATTAGATTCTTCACAATCTCGTCGTTTGACCCCCGGCCTCTGCTTTGGATTTCGTTTTCGTGATTTACGAGGTACCTCAGTATTATCATTGTAGGAACTGGTGCTCATGTTACTGAAGTTGGAGGGGGAATCCTCCATCCACATACTGCAGCTCTGCTCAGATTCCAATCCACACCCCTCATCCTGGCAGGACATCCGACTGTTATCCAGCAAGTCCTCAGGTGGTGGTGAGATGTACAAGACTGTGTGCCTCTTCGGTGTTGATGGATGCTGCTGGACTGTGTTACTGGTTAACTGCTTTTCACTTACCCCTCTGTTACTTACCCCCAAGGCTGAGGAGCAGCTCTCCACTTGCATAGCCTTGCTGTCGGTGACTGAGGTAGAATAAATGGTAGGGCTGGAAGAGGTGGTAAAGGAGCTGCAAGCACCGCCCATGGAGGAAGAGGAGGGAGCTGAAGAAGCATCTGCAGTGTACAATTTAAGAGTAAATACACTATACATGTTTTCACCTATGCTGGCTAGCAGTCCCATTGAAAATGTGATTTGTGAACTGATTGTTTTTCCCCAAAATGAATAGTTGGAATTTGGTTAAGTTTTAGAATATCAATGCTTCAAGCAATAGAAGGCCTAAGAAATGCATTTTTTAAAAAAATGCCCAAATAGAATTATTTTACTTGTGCTAAATTGATTTTTCAAAAAATCTAATTTAATGTTTTAAGCTGTAAAGCAAGAATAAAGCTTTTATTGCCTCAGCTGGATGTTCGGTTGAATTTTAATCATTTAAAATAATAAAGAAAACCCCAATATAAAATATATGCTTGTGGTCCACATTCAATGCCAATTAAATAATTTATTACAGAATTTGAAAAGTGGGACTGTGCTTAGCCACAAAATATTAAAATAAGTCTCTAACCTATGAAGCAGAGAACTACAGGTCATTTTTAATGCAGACACTCCCTGCTTCAGAGGCAAATCCTGGAATAAAAATATGAGAAAATAAATGAGAAAAGAGCTGCTGATTATTCCAGATATCAATTATAAAATAAAAAATAAAGAGAAAAATATTTAATCAACTGAATTGGAGGCAAAATGGAACTGGTACCGTCACTCTGTCACTATGATTATTGTCACTATAATCTAGAAGAATAAAACTGAAAAGGGTTTGATTTGGAACATGCCAGGTTGTAGGAGATAAGTAAGTTAACCACGGGTGAGGGTCTTAAGAAGTTGGAAGTGGTAGTTCAAAACCATAATCTCTAAAATAACAAATCCGTCTTAAATGGCGGAATGAAAAGCAGAGTAAGGACAGATTATTGGATGGATTTCTTATATAAAGTACTTGATTACACTCAGCAACTGGTTACCACTATCCATTTCCTCTCTCTTTAAGGGCCCACTTGATTTAAACTATTAAAGGAATTTCCTAATATACTCTGAGTAATAGCAAATTTTTTTGGCCAGAATCTAACAACAAAGAATTAAGCAAGAAAAATCTCTGGAGGTCACCAGAATTGGTTCCTATAAAAAAGGTTTTTTTTAATAAGACCATTTATCTATTATGCTTAGAAAAAAAGATTTAAGTAGATCTTTTCAAAATATGTGGCAACTGGCAGAAGAGCTCATTGGAAAATAATACTACTTTAAATCCTTAATAGCATAACCTCAGAGGCACACTGATAATATTAGGGTTGGATGTTGTCAGTCCTAAAATCTTACAAATACCATTTCATCTTGTATAATATGTGGGAAGGTTTATAATTGTATACACAATAAAAATAGGTAACATGGCAGACAATTAAAGATATGTTTAAATGTAAAGTTAAGTTTTATCGATAGCCAAGTATGCCACTATTTTAAAATGGAATGATGAGACTTAAAACTGTGATATGCAGTTATTGGAATTGTAATAACAAGTGAAATGTAAGAATGCCAATGTTTAGATAATCAAAAGCCACCTGACAAAGATCTATTTTTAAAATGAAAACATGTACGAAAACACTTAAATCATTCGAAAGAACTGAATTCAGTCATAATATTCATTACTTTAAAGGTTAAACAGCATAGTAATAAATATTAACATTAACAATGTGATCTACATAATGCCACACGGAGATTATTCCCAACTACCATAAATCAAAAAACTTAAAGCAATTAGATGATACCAGTTCCATTTTCCAGTTTGTATCCTTGTCAAATTCAGTAGCTGAAATTGGAAAATTCAGTCATTTTAAACTGCATTCCAATTTAAAGAAAAATTTATCAATTGGGTATCATGCATTAATGCAATCTTTTCTTAGTAAATAAATATTTTAAAAGATATGTAAAAACTACAAAATCTAGATGCTAATGTCAGTGACAGTTTAGGAGCTGATTTGTAGCCACTTTGGGTTTAAATAACAAGTTTTTTTGAAAAATACAACAGAATTCATTTTAGAAAAAATAGAAAAGGTATTATGTCTAACATTCCTCTATCTGTTCCAACTATTGGCAAAAATGAAACTAAATTTTTATGTGTGTATGAGCCTATGTTCTTCATTTTCAGAGAAATACAAGTATACAGCATGCAATATTTGCAGTGGATCACATAAAGCATGCAGCATGAATGCTGTGAATCTGTCTTTCTATAAGGAGCTTTCCCCAACCCACACTTTTTGAATCTAAGTACCATGCACACAAGAATGCAGAATATGACCATCGCAGGGATCCCTGTCCTTGACAGATGGAAAGTACAGGTGAAAAACAATTATGAACTCAAAAGCAAGTTATTATAACTTTAATCTGCAAGATATAACCCACCATTGCTCTTTGGTATGCTATATGAATTTATCTTGCAAATCTTATCAAAACAAACATGGTTATAAAACCAAATTGATATAATCATACATAAATGTCTGTTCCAGGACAGGTATGCCAAACTGTGATTTCATACTCTCAATAAATTAAAATATCCCATACATTTTTCTTAGACACCTAACGCACAATTTTTTTATTTTACCTGCAGTTTCCTGGATATAGTTATTAAATAAAAAAATTCATTAGCACAAAAATAGAAAACTGAAAACATAAATTCTGTCAAGAGACAGTAGTAAGCATTCTTTAATTTAAAAATAGATAGCATTACTTTTTAAAGCCTACCTCAGTTTGACCCTAAATAATAAAAATTCTACTCATTTTAAGACTGTAACAAATAAAACTATAAAACTCTATCATATTATCACTGTTGCTCTGATGATGATTATAGTGGTGTATAAAATCTTTCACATAAAGATATTATATTCTGGTTAGCAAGACATCACCAAAGTGCATTAATAATGCCAAGTTAGATGGTGGAGTATAAGAACTATGAGCCCTTTGAGAGCATGGGCAATATATTTATCTTAGACTCTCCCAATACCTAACATAGTGTCTTGCATGTTATTTGTTATTAAATTAATTTATGGGAAGCTAATATTTGTTATGGGTGCTGAGTTATAGTAAAGTTAAATTGGCAAATAAAGTAACAAAGAAACAGAATTTCCGGAGGATGAGGCCCAGAAATCAGGATTTTAAAAAGGTTCCCAGGTGATTCTAATGTGCAGCCAAGGTTGAGAACCACTGGTTTAGAAGAAACTTAAGAGTTCAGAGGTAACTACTTGCTATTTCTATAAAGAGTGCTCTAATAACTTTCTTTCTTGAAACTATACAATAGCTAAATTACCTACTTGTGTACTAACCTATAAATTTACTAAGAATAAAAATCCTTAATATTATCTATTACAAATAAATGATAAAAATAGTATCAAGAACATATTAGATTTCTAAACTCTAGTTTGTCATTTCTCAACATCCCCAGAAAAGCACTAAAAAACATTCCTGGAAATATTATAAATGTAACTTAAGGTCACCATAGCATTAAGAAACAGCCATAGCATTAAGAAACAGCCCTGGCTGGTGTGGCTCAGTGGCTGAGTGTTGTCCCATGCACCGAAAGGTCACCAGCTGGATTCCCAGTCAGAGCACATGTCCGGGGTTGTGGGCTCAATCCCCAGTATGGGGCATTCAGGAGGCAGCTGATGGATGTTTCTCTCCCCTCTCCCTTCCTCTCTCTCTAAAATCAATAAAAATATATTAAAAATATATATATACTAGAGGCCCAATGCTCAAAATTTGTGCAAGTGGCTCGGCCCTCACAGCCGTGGCACCCGGCTTTGTCCAGAAGGTTGTCCAGAAGGTCATCTAGACGGTTGTTCTGCTATTCGGCCATCTGGTCTAACTAGCATATTATGCTTTTATTATTATAGATATCAAGAAACAACTTAATTGACATTCTATAGAATAAAAATGCTAATGCAATCCTCATCTATATATTCTTTTTCATTTACAAGTTTTTATAAACAAAATATGCTAACTACTTTCCTCACTTTTTTTTTTTTGGTTTTGAGTCTCTATTTTTATCTATTAGAAATATAGAGACTGTTTAATTGCTGCATTTTAAAATACAAAAACTCCAACATAAAAATGTTTTAGTAACTGCTTTTATTTTTCAATGAGCAGAGTAGTTATAATGTATTTCTGATTTATAACTTTATACTTTTGTTCTTTAAATCCCTTACCAATTCTTCATAAAGATGGAAGTTTTCCTTAAATTTTTTCTTAAACTTATTCTTTCACTTAATGTGTAAATATTTATTCATATTTTTCTTTTATGAAAAAGTTATCTTTGAACCCAGAAGAATTTTATTTTTCCACAGTATTACCTGTGACCACAGACAGCACAGCAAACTAAAGGGAAAACCAATATACCATATCTACAATTTACTAATGTAAATTTATAATCTCAAAAGAATAGATTAACTCTAAAATTTATAAATGAAGGAAAGCATCACAGCTATCATGTTTTAATAATTATATTATTGATTAGCCAATTACTAGATAAAATGCCAGTAATGATGGTCAACTTAAGTTGAATATATGGCTTCTTTTAAGAAGATGGAATAATTAAGGTTTACTATGAATATTCAAAGTAATTGGGATAAAAAGAGTGGTAGATAATATCTGCATGGATAACCCAGATGATTGCAAGTACTATTAATTTGGTTACAAGGATGATAATGGATTTTTAAATAGTACCCCATATAGAAACCCACATAGATTTTATATACTCCTTACCTAACATGCTAAGAGCCCAGCCTGTTTTGTCTTCGGGACAGAAAGTAGTGTCAGTCACCAGTGACTGACAGGGTGCTTATTAATTTTAAACAATATTTTAAAATTAAAAACTATTGGTTCTAGATTTGTTGAACTAGAAATTATTTTAATTACCATATCATTTCAATGCTGAAAATATCATAAAAAATAAATGATATTTTATATGGAACTAATTAAACTTTTTCTAGAAAGCTTTGAAATTAGAAACATTCTTTAAAATCCTCAGAAGAAACAAATATCTTTTACAGATTTAAAGTATATGAAAGAATTTACATTT